CACCAACCTTTAGAAAGTTGAGGACATTTTGCAACCAAAGTTTGAAGAATCCAGGAAAATGTACATGTTTTCCCCATTAAGGATAGGAAATGATACATCCAAAAACTGTTTTTTAGGCAATGAAAATCAATTGAAATTGTCAAGAACTAGAGTGGCACAATCCTTGAACGAACATTGCCAGAAATCATAATGAACAAACGGTCATACATGTGACTTCATGATTGTTCATGTTCAAAAGTAATGGCAACTTCCCTTCTTTTTACATAAAAAGGCAATACAATCAAAAGAAATGATAATAACCAAGGAAAACCTTGATGTTTGGCAATTTAATTTGGCAATAGTTTCATTTTTTGTAGCAATATCTATATTTTTCTGTAGGTTACACTTTTTCTCGCAGCAATTCAACTCTTTCATATTCTTTTTCGGTCATGCATTTTTCCCCTATGCTCCTATTGGGTACATTACATTATGAAAATGAGGCTATTTTAAAATAGAGCCCTAAAATTATGTTGCCATATACAACTCCAAAAAAGGGTTATAGTAAAAAAAGTAGGCTGATTTGGATCTATTCACTACCTATTCACTACTATAGCTGACATTGATCTATTCACTACCCCTGACAAAGACTACATCTGGCTCTCTCTAATTTAGTTCTCAAAGATTTATGGCTTAATTTCTTTCAGGCTCTTTTGTGCGCCTGTTTTACATCTTTAGCATATGAGAATGCTCTGAATTCCTAAGAAAACTTCAAGCTCAGCTGATCTAGCAACATTGCTCCATCTACTCAAGATGATTGGATAAGCTAAAAATGTATTTACCATCACCTCTGCATCAATTCTACTTCCAGTATTGGCAGTTGTATACACAAAAAGTATTTCTGCAATGTTAAAAATCGTATAGGTGTCGTCATTTATTTTGAGTGTGTGACAATCATCATCAATATCAACCTTAGCTGTAAGTAACAAGGCCAATTATTGCTTCCTGTTGTCTTCAAGGCTAGAATTCTGGCCCCTTGTAGCCTTGCGGAGTCTTTGATAAAGGGTTCCACAAACATATCCACATAGGTAAGCCAAAAACAGAGTGCACTTGTAAACCGGAGTTGTCACTTGCAATACGGAGATAGACATAATCTGTCTGATATATTCACAGACAGAACCTCATAGACAGAATATGGGGTATTGGCCAATCAGGTTACAGTTTTTCATTATGGACATATAGCCCGCCACAGGGATCCGAATTACACATTAAAACCTTGTTTGGTTGTCAAATTATATTTACACAAGGACTATTACGAGCATCAATCCGCATGTGGTCTGAAGGAATTCAAAACTATGCAAGAAAGACAATAGACATGTACTTTGCTGCTAGCTCTGTGCTTTAATCATTGTTTCAAATTAGTACAAATATACAAAGTAAACCATTCTCTACTTTCATAATCGTTGACAATCGGATTCCAATGACAGCAAAAAGCCTACATGATAAAATACAAATCTAGTTACATAACAAATTCCAAAAAATCTTACGGTAAAACCGCTCGACAACTGGGCTCTACAAAAACGGACAGCCAAGCCATGAAAGTTTTTTTCAAAACAAACGTCTACCAGATTTACAATATTGAATTCTTTATCTCCAACTTATGTTGAAATTATAGCAAAAATAGAGGCTCGGGGACAGGATTTTTTGTAAGTAGCGAAATGATTAATTAAAGATATTATGTACTGTATAGGAAATAAGGAAACATAGTACACTTTTACAATTATTGGGGGTACATTTAATATTTTCTTTCTTTGAATACTCGTTTTATCCAGATTGTTTACATAACAGTCATACACTGGTACGCGTTCGTTAGAGAAGATTAAAGTTTCGAGGGCAGGCCAGAAAGGGATACGGCATTTACGATGAGAAACACTTTCAGGGGCCTGTTGTCTTCAATCTTAGTTAAAAGAGCCGACCATTTAATTTGGGCAGAAGTACTATATTGATGGGTGTAACCGTTACAGAAATTAAATGACAGCTTTTTTATATTTCTACTGAGAAAATTCACTAAAACTAACCTGTTAGTAAAGGTTCTGAGCAATTTAGAAATTTTAATAATCCCTACCGCTGACATAAATAATAGAACTACTATTTAATCTTGCTACTGTGTTATCACTTCAAGAAACTTTATGTTTCTGTGTCTTGTTGCAACTGGCAATTTTTTGCATAATTTTTTCACTCGCGATAGACATTGTGATGAAATAAATTTTGAGAAATCTAATCTTATTCTGTTAGGTACTAGGTTGAAAAACTCTAATCTTTTCTTCATTCTCGAAATTGATAAAACCATTTAAAGACAAAGATAATTTGTTAATCGGCTAATTTTTGGTCATTTGGTAGATAGAAACTTGTAGAAACCTATATTTAAGGGCTGAACTTTGCTGTAATGACCCTTTCCGTACATTTTTGTTGTAAATTTGAGTGGCCCTTGGGTTTGATGATTGTAAACGACAACTCAATCTAGAGAGAAATCATCCTTTTCACGAAGGATCTTCACCGCAATTTGATGGTCCTTTTCAAGTGATGCTCTGTCCACCCTCCACACTCCACATTTGACAAACTCTGTTTTTAGTGCAGAGCCCCACTTGAAAATTTGTTGTTTTTTGATTACGTCAGTTTTCTTTTTGTTAAAATCAAACATATTGTTGGGCCTTGCAGTGGCATATATAACGGCTACTTGGTCCTCGGCTACTTCAGGCCCACCAAGAACGACACGACCAAGGTAAAAGGTGTTTGTAAGGCAGGTGTACGCCACAAAGTCATCATGTTTCAGGATCATCTACGAAAGATAGAACAGTTGATTTTCTAAACGCTATGAGAGACGTAACTGGGGCGACTTACTTTCTAATATATGTTTATGCTGTAATTTTTGCAGTAAGAATTGGAAAAATGTACTTTATTTAGCTGTAGTTTGAATGTCAAGTACATTAGCATTTTATCTTTTGAAAATAAAAACTCATAGTTGTCTTGCATAAAACAATTTTTGAAGTCATCAGGAAGAAGATATTGCAAATTTGAAAGAAAGATAACGAAAAATCGTACTTTGTCTTTTGGTCATTTGAGGGTTCTGAGTTGCTTTCATAGTCAAATGACAGGGACCGTAGTAGCTCAAAACCTTGTGCAGCTGATTCTTCACACAAATCTCCTTCGGCTTCTGGCTCAGTGAATGAACTTTAAAGTTCTGCCGGTCCAGCTACGTAAGCCTCGAAGTTGTCATCTATCGCTGTCGTAGACACAGTAGCCAAAGATTTCTTTTTCTGAAATGCAAAATTCTATAATAAGTTTAAAAATTTAAAAACATAAGATATAAAACATGTGTTGATGGAACTAATTTCTTTATTCGGGAGATTGGTAGGAGGAGGATGCTGACAAATAAACAATTGATTAACAAAGGGCTGCAGCCCTGGAATAATGCTTACCCTGCTCGTCATCTCGCTTGCATCCGTTGGTGTTGAATTCTCTTCCAGGTTGTCAGTGAAAGGTAGGGCCTGAAAATCAAAACGTTCATATAGGAGATTACGGCAACCTATTCTAAATTTAGATATTAACTTGATGTGCACATTCAACATAAAAAGTAAAATTTGAACTGAAATTTTAAAGTAGAGTGTATGGATGTAATTGAAAGAGTTTTAGTATCATTTAGCAACAGTAGATCTTAATGATAATTGTTAGGACAGCTGCATTTTTGCATCTTCCGCCCCCCATACCCTTGCCCCTTCGCACAGCTTTTGCTATTTTGGTATATATACTTTACCAAGAATAGGCACTTTTTTATAAGACTAAAGTATATAAGAATATTGAGGCTCAAAATTGCTCAACTTTCATCAAGACTAAAATTTTTCCTTAATCTGAGTTTTCTCCCAAAGCATTTAATATCACTTGTTGAAAATTATAATGAAGCAACACATCAAAAAAGATCTAATATTTTTCTTTATCTTGAGACGAATTTACATAATATTGAGGCTCGACAAAAAATTAGGTATTCTTATAAAAAGTGTGTATAATGTTTGACTTGACCCTCTCCCGCCGACCAATTCTTTCACTAACAGTCTGATATCGAGAGTGAGAGTCGTTTGCCAAAATTTTGAAGAATTAAACTAGCAACGCACCATTAAAGCGCTTTTCGTTTATTTTCTTTTGCCCTCTTCTAGTTTTTTAGGCTCTAGAGTTGAATTATACATCTAAAAAATCAACATTTAACTTAATCAAAAGATATGAACTAGGAGGGATTTTGACAAGAGTTAAGTTTAATTTGCATCAACGTTTGTTCATCAGTTGGAATCGTATGGCTAGAAACGTAGAAATCATATAAATGGGTAGGGCACTCATCATCAGTCTTATCAAGGCTGGCAAAAGTGCCCTGTGACACAAAATATCATAAGTATCTTGTACTTCGTGCATCCCTTAGAACTGACAGTTGATTTAATTACAATCAACTTTGAAGCTTCAACATATTTGATAATGTATTACATCTTCGTTTTACACACATCAATTCAGCTCCCTCTCTCCCCCTATTGGTAGGTCAAGGTAAGATTATCGACTTGTTTCTAACCTCATTTGTCTCTAATAGCCTGCTGTTGAACAGGTTTGAACTGCAGTCTTCTGTCAAGCTGGAGAGCTGAGACTGGAGTTCCGCTATAATCTTGTCTTTGGCTTGTAAACGCCTTTCGACATTAATACTAAGAATCAAAACGCCTTTCAACATTTTACTTACTAAAATATAATGGAAATTTTAGGTTTCATCATATTCTACTAAAAATTATACAAATCAGACATTGAACAGGCCAGTAGCGGCGCCACAAATAGGGGGAGGGGGGTACTGGGGGACACGCCTCCCAGTTCTTGGCATGATGAATTTTGTATTTCGTCTAAATTCTCGAGGAAAGGTTAGGGAGGGCTCATATTTAGCAATTTACTTATTTTGTTGCAATCCTACGATTTTGAAGCTCTTATGTAACCAAAAGTTAGTAATAGGCATTCCTGCAGGTAAAATTTGCGTTCTTTTTGATAAAAGTACGTTTTGGGCTGTAAATAGGGCGTGGCCTAAATTTTTTGTTTGTTCCCCCAGAACCTTGTGGCTGGCGCTGCCACTGGAACAGGCAGCGTTTAGTCCAAAAAAGAGAGCATACCTCATCAAAATGAGTCCTTCTACTTTTGAGGGCATCATAAACATTTTTCACCTCTTCCTCCAAATTGAAAATAGTACGTTGATTCTACAGGAAAAAATACGAAACAATCATTTTAATTCACCACTCACAATCTCCAAGATACATATTGCTAGATCAAAGATCTTTGATCCAGTAGACCGGGCTACAGTGGCGGTAGGTACCACCTCAGGGCGGAGAAATTCAAATGGATATTTTCAGGTAGCTATGGGTCTGGTTACTTGGAAAAGTGATGGTGAACGGGAGATTCTTGGGGTTTAAGGGGTAAATACGGGGGTCAAAGTTCGTCATATAAGCATATTACCTCTGCGGAGGAGCCACTGTTTTGTTTACGACTTCAGAGCATGGCAGGTGCTTGTTATCATAAAAAAATGAACTAGAGGGAGTCTTTTAGAGCCTCTTCCTTAAATTCCGACATATTGCTACAGTAAGAGTAGTCACGTGACCAATTTTTACCCCTTACCATATTTGGAAGGTGAGCTTTTTTAACAGAATACCTTTGTTCTTTTTTTTACGACGTATTCTTTTGTTTGATACTCTTAAATGTTAAAAGATGCAAGTTAAGGCAAAGATACCTGCATTTGTCAATGTTTATCCATTGTAGGCTTCATTTTCACTTTCTTTATCATCTCCAAAGGTCACGTCTTCTTCAAGATCCAGGAACAAGTCAGTCAGTTCGTCTGGAAATGCTTGTCGTTGCCAGTCTATAGCTAGATTCCCTTTCCAGTCAAAAGTAGAAAGATTTATGGACCTTGATTTATTGTCAAATTTATGGACCTTTCACCCGATGACTTCCAAATCTTTGCAATGATGTTTGATCGCAATATGTGTAGCCTCAGTGATGATTGACATGGAGGCAAGAGTGAAATGTTTATGGCTTTGCCTTGCCTTACATACTTCTTGTCAAATAATTTTTTCCTCACATCATTGAAATTTGTTTGCCGGTATCCATATAAATGGCAAACATCTTCTTCAAGGTTGACAAATATTTGCTCATCAAGTTCCCATACCTGCCCAAGTAGCGAAAATGTGTTAACAAATCTGTTGTTCTTCTGGACCACCTCCCAACATTCTGATTTCCCTTTGCGGAAAAAAGATGACACATAGTCATTCCCCGTGAGTGCATGAAAGCCTATCAGGCACTTCTTCAAACCATCTTCCATCTCAATATCAGACAAAAGTAGTCCTTTTCTATTCAAACCAACTCCAAAATCGAGATATACTTGACTTTGCTCTTTACTGTGTTATAATAATTAATAAAATTACCAAGATGTCGATGTCTGAGGATGGAGAGCGTACAACAACTTTTTTCGATGGATGCCGAGTTAAAGCGTTTCTTTTTCCTTGTAAACTCTTTGTAGCAGAATTCATGGTATTAAAATTCATTAGCTATGAGATAAACCTCTTTAATTTCATAATAAATGTTCTGATCGATATTGGCTTCAGCAGCTTCTTTTTACGTTAGTTCGACCTGCTTCGTCGTGATCGTTATTGGTACATGATGTTTCTGTTGCCTCTTTACCCGGTACTTTTGGCAAAAATTACACAGCTGGGGATAAACATCTGGTCTCTGAGTAGCTGCAGTCTTTAGTCTTTGTGGACGCTGAATAGCTTCAGTGCTAGTTTCTGCGAGGAATTTCTCATGGGACAGGATCTTTGTAAATTTTTATAACAAGGTTCTAAGTGAACTCCGTGCTTTTTTGGATCAACCTCGTCAGGAATGGAGCTGCATTGTTCTTCGTGGAGATTTTTGCCACCAAGTCGTAAACGAGTAGCCTTTGCAGCATAAATTTTGTCTTTATTGATGTCAGACAAATCTTTAATAATACTGTACAGACAATCTTTGCTCGGGTAATGAACAATACAGCTTAGGCCTTGCATGTTTAAAAATATAAATAAAACACGACCTCCTCAATACTTTAAAGGTACACAGAGTATCCAATTTTCAGAGTGAAAATAACAACTTACATACTGAAAATGACGCTTAAAGCAAAACAATTCTTTCTTGGTAATGATGCAAACAGGTCTTTTTGTTCTGCTACGTATTTCCGTGATTTCTTGAGTTCATTGCGTTACATATTTGTGTTACTATTTGTACAAATATTTTCAAAGCGATGAATTGCGAAAAAAGTTGCCCAGCATCTGAAGGAGATGTGGAGTCATCACGAAATAACCAAATGCGCATGAAATCAAACGGACCTAATAAATTATCATGTCTTCGCAACCATTATTCTACATATAGTTAAAACCAGTCATAAACTCAAAGTTATTCAGGGTATCCATCAACAACAGCTCGGTTGTAAAATAATCTTGCTGATTTGTACATTATTGTAACATTTAAGAGTATTAAACAAAAACAATTTCAGGTATTCTGTTAGAAAAGGCTCACTTTCCAAATATGGTAAGGGGTAAAGATTGGTCACGTGACTACTCTTATTGTAGCAATATGTCGGGATTTAAAGAAGAGGCTCTAAAAGACTCCCTCTAGATGACTTTTTTATGACAACAAGCATTTGCCATGCTCTGAAGTCGTAAACAAAACCGTGGCTCCTTCGCAGAGGTAGTATGCTAATATGACGAACTTTAACCCCCATATTTACCCCTTAAACCCCAACAATTCCCCGTTCACCATCACTTTTCCAAGTAACCAGACCAATAGCTACCTGAAAATATCCATTTGAATTTCTCCGCCCTGAGGTGGCACCTACCGCCACTGTAGCCTGGTCTACAGGTCCAACCCAAATATACTACTCAAAATGGGAAGACTACAAAATAGGTATTTAATGCTTCCTTTCAGCATAATACTTAAACTTATTAGAATGCCAGTGAATGATCGAACAGTACAACAACACTGTCACGATTCTAGAACAGGAAAATTATTGCAAAACAGGACAATCAAGATGGTGGCTTATCAGAAAAATCAAAAAGCGCTGTTTGATGGCATCGCGGTCACTTTATCTATAATATGAAACCTTTGTCTAGATTGTATTGACATTCCTGTCTCGACGTTACTCATATTTTGAAGTCTTATGCTATCTTGAAATATATGAACAGATCACTCACTTTTCTTATCTCTTCTTCTGCGTTATTTAGCTCAGCCTTGATTGTCTTAATGTATCCTTTCAATCGACGGACCTAAAAGAACTGCCTTTTCATCAATTGGTACCAAAATTCTTCTGTTCTACTATTTTCTAAGAAATTGAATATATAATCAAGCCTATATTCCAATCACATTTAGAGTTTTTAAGAGTGTATAAATGACCAAATAAAGTTGAGGAAGAATTTATTATCACAACATACCTGATCATTTAGTTCAGAAAATTCGGTAGCTTTCCAGCGCTTTGAATTAAAAGTCAGGGCATCCATATCACCCTCGGCAGATAAAGATGTTGTCTAAATGTGAGGATAATTTTTAAGGATATCAGTAGTGAAAGGTTAAAGACATCGAGGGGCATTTTACTCTTGCAAATAGCAGAAGATTTTCGATTTACAAGATTTTCCCTAAAGGAGAAGGATTTCCGGGGATTTTTCAGATAAACAATTGGATTTCACAAAAGATGTACGAGATTTTCTTGGAGTTATTTGCACCTCAAAAGATATGATGTTGATTTCACAGAGTATTTAGGAAATTCTTGTCACTAACATGTATTTTTAAAAGAACTCTAAAGGCTGGTTTTCATATAAGTCCTTCGTTGTGATTCATCACAATTCACAGTCGACAATAAAGATTATTTCTGTGATATCAAAACTGGTCAAAGAAAACATCATAAATAATCATAATAGAACTTAATTCAACGTAACTCATTTGAAGAAAGCATGAATTTATCTGGATTGTAGGACCCAAACTAATCCGAGCTCATGAATATGTCAGAAATCAATGGTATAATCAAATATTTTTAGTAAATAAAAACTATTATTTAGCTTGTCAGCACATATCACAAAAGTGACTTCATTCAGGGAAACAGAACAAATTAACAACCAAGGAGCTGACAGTCTTTTCTGGGGGGAAAGTGGGGTGGGGGTTTATATGCTTAAAACCGAAAACAAGGCAATTCATTTTATTTTTTTACATACATTTTGAAACTTTTTTGGCTAAGCCTCTTCAGTAATCTCTGTTCTGCAGTCCCTGAATATATTGGAAGGGGCCAAGAGAGTGCGACCTAAAAAAACCTGCTGCACACCAACAATTGACCAATATTTTTAATGTATGAGCTAAAATTTGATCCAACACTATCTTATGAACATCTAACAGTTTAGATAAAATAATGAAATATTTGCAAAACCTACAGCTGTTGAGGGCTGTTCTGTTGCTACTCGTAGTCTCCGCTGCCTTTTTTCTGCATTTAGGTGCTTCACCTTGCCTCGCCATCCACAACTGCACTCAAAAGACGATACTGCTCTTCCTCTTTCTCTCCTTGGAGAAAAATCGAAAGTGGATAGGGAAATTTTTTGGGCAGACGTGCTCTTCTTCATTTCCCCACTCTGCAGCTGCTCGTCAATTTTCATTATTTGTGCGAAGCAACGCTGACTTACCGCAACCAACTTGCATATTTCTTTGTATTGAAAGTTCTGTAAAAAATCAAATTTTAGAATTAAAACTGGATGTTGAACTTAATAAAATAAAAATCTATATATCGATCTTCAAACTTCTAGATCAGAATATATCAGTATAGTGTTTTGTAAAAATAGTTCAAAATTACAAAGTTTATCTATTTTTCGATTAATATCCCTAAGATAAAGTTTTCTTCGAAACAGGGTGTCATTTTCGGTATTTTACAATTTTTACTTCTTTAGGCACGAAAAGGAAAAAACCCCTCTGAATAATGTACTCAACTTACCTCATTTTCCATGCCTGATTCTTGAACCGCCTTCTCCCTACTCGTCAGCAGGTCGGTTGCAGCCTCTACCAAGCTTACACCGCGAATTCTTGGATAAAGCTCTTTTAGAACATTTCGCGCTTGTACTATATGTTCTGAAATTGTAAACTTTCGTTTATTAGCAACACTGCTAACATGCGTATCTTTTTCACGGGGTTGAATTGGTATTTGTCCCGGACCAAAAACAGATGGATGCTGTAAGCGTGCTGACGCCCCTGGAAGTGTCTCGCTCGATTCAGCGTCTGCCCAGGTCAAAGAATGACACTGTGGAAGATATTCCAAAACTTCTGAAAAAGCGTCACAATCACTATCTTTTTCTTCCCTGCTATAAATCTGGGCAGACATGTTATAAATCTTACCACTTTCTAATAAAATTTTTTTATTTTGTGCCATTATATTTCCAAATACTTCTGGAGTAATTGCGTATACGTAAAGACACAAATGAAAGTTGAAGCATTTTTACCCACTTTTATTAGTTCTCTTTTTGCAAGGTGCATGTTCGAACACTGACAAGCATGACCTTTTTTGGCATTAAGTGAAAGTCGCGTCATTAGTAACATTGGGTAATTCGATGACTCGCATTCTTGACTCATGTTTATGACTAACATTGTTGGTTCTAATAATAGCGCAGGTTCACTTTAATCTATTTTTACATCATCCTACTGGTCCGCTTTCCCGGCTTGGTCATTTTTGTTTGTGCATCCTGTTGCGTCTACGTATATCATGGTGACATTGCTCAACCTAGGCAGTAACACCCCCCATTGATGTATTATCTTGAGAACTCGGCTATTCAATGACTCAGCTCATACCTGCATATACTGACATACTCCGCGCAGTGGAATTATTTGTTGTTCCGTTGAACTTTTTATATGCGCTAGGATCCTTCCGATAACTGATGGACCCTATGCCATAAATATAACTTGTGATCTTTTGGTACATAAAAGGGCAATACAATTGAATCTCGTTAACTAGCACTTTCATTAAGTTGAACTGATTTTTAGGTGTCTTATTATTTCCATATTATTCTGTCTGCAACAGATCGATTTACCCCCTGATGGCTTGCTTTGCGTATGAAATAAAAATTTGAAGCTGGCTGTATTATTCTCACTTAGAAATTTCCCGCTTCCCACAGACTGATTCTGTCCGCTATGGGCAGATTCTGTCTGCAACAGACCGATTTACCCCCTGATGGCTTGCTTTGCGTATGATATAAAAATTTGAAGCTGGCTGTATTATTCTCACTTAGAAATTTCCCGCTTCCCACAGACTGATTCTGTCCGCTATGGACAGATTCTGTCTGCAGTAGAATGGCTCAAACTTCTGCTCAATTCCTTTCATATCATATTCTCTATTAATTTATTAAAATGATGATAACAGTGTTTGACTACCCAGGAATGGGGATTTCTCATTCAAATTTCTGTCTAGGAGAAGAAAATTCTGTCCATATATGAACAGAATTCCCATTACCCAATCAACTGGCTTTCCCCAAAATGCACGGTTTGGCTCTTCTGATGAAAGATCTGCATTTCAGAACATCCAATAGGAACTAAATCGAAGAACGAATGGGTCTTTCTCGACCAGTCAATATGCAAGATGCAGGATTTGGGGCGAGATATGTTTTATATTTAGCGGGACTTCTTGATATGTGCACATTCGCAATGAAGCATAAAGTCAAAAGGCATTAAAAATTGATGACCTGCAACTTCATCTTCGAGATTGGGGAAAGGGGTATTCGGCCGCTTATTAATCACACCATTTCAAGTAAGACTATTCTACTGTAGTTTTGTAAAGTTTCAAACTATTTCGCCTTCTTTTTTCAAGATTTTTCTACCTTAGCAACAGTAAAAGACACCTTTTTCTAAATTTTAGTTCTAAACTGCCGCATGACATAATGTCACAAATAGTTAATTCCGAAGAAGAAAGCTTTGAGGAAGCTCTCTCTCAAGTAAGTAGACAGTATGGCGTTGCTATTTTTATTATTTCTATGTAACTCTCCATTAAGCCCCCGTCAACCAATTTCTGGTAGTTTTTGCAGTTACCCTGATCATATTTCGACCCTTCTCTTCTCTTTATTACATTCATGACTTTCATTTGAACGAATTTTTATCCTTTGATTTGCTTGGAATCAGCTGGCAGACTGATTTCACAAACACTGATAATTTCACACTTTAAGACTTCACACGACTCGCTCATGGAAGTAACATGCTTTGCAGGAGTGTAGGTTGTTCTAGACCAATCAGAGTGCAAGTAGTTACTTACAAAAATAGTATAATCACAGAACAGCTGAATTCATGTCAGCATTTGATCGTAAGTTTTCACGACCAGCAACTTTTTTTAAGACACCAATTGTCTTTTTTAGAACTTTTTAACATTATTTTATCATCTTTTTACATATTCGATTGAGAGGCGATTTTTAGGGCTTACTAAAAGAATACAAGATTATCATATTATTCTATTTTCTGCCCTATACCGCTTCATATTGCCAAAATGGGACTTATACCATATAATGCCACAAATATTTCTGGTAACATATCGATAGCTTCTCAATCGGCAAATTCGCTGCTTCCTCCAAACCCTGATAACGAGATAAATAGCAAAGTTTTAAGTCCCAAGGCTACTTCAAACACCCAGCTTTCTCAATGCCAAACCCCATGGAAGGCAGTAAAATATTAATTATAATGCATAACTTTTATTTTTGGATGATTCTCTATGCAGGCAGTCAATCATAGGCCAAAGCTCAGAAATGTGCTTATTGACTTAAACATAGAACAGACGGATGAACAGTGTTCCACAGGATCTAGCGTGAGTGATTTTATGTTTCCCATTCTTTTTCTCATGGCAAGTTAAAATTCAAGCAACAAAACGTTTTTAGGGGACTCTCCATTACAATCAGAAGACCCCCTTCCAAGAACAGGGTACGCCCCTTTTTTATAAATGGCACACCAAGTACTAACTTTTGGCCACATAAATGTGGTTTCAAAATAGTGAAAACACAACACAAATTATACTTTCTCCACATTTCTCATCAATTCAGACGATTTGAAAAAATCAATGCTGCCAGGAAATAGAGGGACGTGTCCACCACCAACTCCATTGTGTTACTCCATTGTGTTTCTTCATTGCTCTTAATTGCTCCATTTATTGTACTTTATATTTCAGGAAGATGAAACAATATACAAGGAATTCTACAATTCTGATTCCGAAAAAGAGAACAATGTCCCCTGTGAAAAGGTTTGAAAGCCTTTATACTTGTAGCTGGCCTTAATCTAGATGCAGCAATTTTGTGAAATTTCCCAGATGAAGCAGATTTTTTAACTTATGTACACACTGACTAAACTTAGAATGTTTTTTGAGTCAGGGATGTTTTGCTTTCAATAAAGAAATATATATGCATCAATCGGATAACTTAAATATAAACTTTTTCTAAAAACTAATAGAAAGCCTAAATTGATATAGAAAACTTAAGCCAACACCCTTTAATGTAGACAAAACCCAGAGAATCAAGGTATGAAAGGTGGACTTTAGATGTGAAAATTCAGGAGGACTACAGAGCTTTTCGAGTCAAAACTTCTTGTTGACGTGGCTGCTATCAAAAGCTGACTATTGAGCTAATGAGGTTACTGCGTCATCGATTCGCAACAAAGGGGGAAAAACAGCAGCATCAGTGTATCTTAGACGAAATAACGCAATCGCCTTTATTAGAGCCCAAATTGTATATAGACGGACAAAGGGTTAGCATTAGCACTTGGTGTCTATTTCATGGTTGCTCAACGACCAGGTAAGAAAAAGCCTAGTTTCTACGGAAATTATAATATTCTGATTTCTATATAATACAGTCTACTGTAATCATTATGGTGATCAATTATTGCTTTAAATTTTCTTGAAGGTTTTATGAAATATTACAACTTGCGAGAAAGTACGGATTCAATGCGAATGTTGCAGGATTAAGAGAAGATGTAAAAAATGTGTCTGCGAAAAGAATATGTGCAAGAAATTGGATGAATGCAATGTGCAGCATTGGCGAAATTCTCCCGGATGACGACAAAACAATACACTTGCCATGCTGTTTCTCTAGAAAGGAGCTGTATGCCACGTATTGATCAGACAATAAAGAAGGACAAGTCCTCAGATATACAGTTTTTCGGAAAATGTGGAAGAGGACTTAAGGCATGTGAACATTTCAAGGGTAAGAGTACATAAGATCTTCTGTTTATCGACGCTGCAACTCGTTTTTAAAGGCTAAATGGGTTTCTGGGTTTGAGAAATGTGGCTCATGATATGGCACAAGATTCTTTGGACTTTTTTGTAAGGAGTCTAACTTTTTGCCCCACCTCGATGTTCTTAAAAAGATTCCATATTGAGCCTGGATATATTCATAAAGTATTCACATATTTTTAAAAATGTAGTTTTTCGGAAACAAATTTCCAGGGCTGCAACCTGAGTCGATGTTTTCTACTAAACTCAGCGGCTGAATCTATTCTGTGCTGTTTAGCGCACTCGTTTTTAGCATCCAACCCTGCATCTATAGCCTTGTTATCAATGCGAATATTTTTAAGATTTTCTACTGTTGCTTCAATTAACTTCATCGCATCTAGGATGTTAAGCTCTTCTGCTTGGAGTTGCATCGTC